AACCGCCGTCTGTCGAACTCTCTGCATTAGCAGAGAGGAACCCGGACGAAGCTTTGCCAAAGGGCAAGGTTTCGTTCGGGGAGGTTGACAGCTCTCGAACCCGCCTAGGCGGGTCGAAGGCTATATTTTTGGACGGGCCTACGGGCTCGGATGACCCACATTAAACTCGGCCTTGTGCCACATGCTACCCCACGTGTGTGTGTGTGTGTGGGGGGGGGGTGGACAGCTAAATATAGCTATAATTAGTGAGAAGTATTCACTACTATTTCTCTAGCAGTTTAGTCTTCAAGGTCAAGAACTAGTCTAGCCACTAGTTGTATCAACTGCTACTTATATGGTGGAGATTTGCATATGAATACAACACTCTCCCCAACTTTTTTTCTTCTTCAACAGTTTAATTTGAAATATTTCATTTTGGAAAAAGAAAAGGAAAACAGTTTCAAAAAACAACCAAATTAATTTTTTTTTATTTTTTAGTATTTGATAGCGAGTAGTTTAGGTTCTTTGGTGATACACTTAGAGTATTGGGAGGGGGGAGACATTTTTGCAGTCTTTGGGTGAGAGGTTACAGGTTCCTTGTTCAGTCCTTTCAGTTAATAACTGGACACTGGTTGTGGTACTTTATCTTCTGATTTTGGTATGTTATTTCCATCTGAATCTGGTATAGGTCTATTTGAGATGATTGTAAATCCTTCAGGTTAGATTATCTTTCATTCTCTGACGTAGAGAAACGAAACTCTCTTTTCCATTTGGTAACCTAAAAAGAGGCCAATCGGGATTCAGCTCAATTTTTCGTACAGTAGGTACGTAATTGTAGTTCTGAACGTAGTTTCTCAGGAGCAATTTCTCAGGAATCGTCAACCACGAAGAAACAGAGCCTCCATAGGAAGATTGTCTCGGATAAGACAACATCTGTTCATGAGGAGTACAATTCGTGATTGTAAACAGTAAGGAACGAATCGAGTGGAGAGCGTTAAAACGGTTTCCTATTGATGCACGGGTAAAACCGCTCGATTTTAAGGCTAAGTTGATCGTCCTCCTCAGAGTTTCGTTCAGTCTCTCCACTTGATATTTTTCTTCGTATGTCTCTACACGCAAAAGCAAAAGTGAAACGACTGTATTCATCAATGATTGTCAATAAATACTTATTTCTTCCCTGATTTGATTGAAGCGTTCCTTTGAAATCAATATTCAATCTTTCAAAGAGTTGAGTGGCTTTGATTAATTTGCCACCTCCTCTCACAAATCTTGGTTTTTCTACAGCTCACACATTACTTTTTTCAGTCGTTCGCATTACTTCCTCTGTTAAGTAGGGCAACTTTTTTGATCTCATAAAGTGCATCATTCTTGATACTCCAGGAGGACATAGATTATTATTTAACTCTTTAAGGTCGATATTTACGACAGAAGTGCAATGTACTTTCATTAATACATATGAACCCTTTATTTTGCCCATAGGGGTAGATTGTTCTAGTTCCATGTGTCATATTTTAGATGGTTCAATATCAGTTATCTCCCTTTAAGCTCAACTCTCCAGGTTTTTGTTTTGAACTCACAAATCCTTGGGTCAAGTCACTGGATTCAACCAACGCTTTTATCCACTGGGCCATTGTCCTCAAGAACATCAGTATCTGAATTTTGGGAAATTGTAAACATAATGTCTCATCGTCCATTTTTTTTTTTTTTTTGCCAGATCTCATCGCTTTTCTTTGGCACTCCATGTTACTGTTTCCCATATTATATTCATGTCTGTTCTTGGCTGCCTTAATTTTTTGTGGCCTAGCATATGCAGTGAATCTTTAAGTTTTCATATTTTCCATTGATGTTCTATTATTTCAACCTCATTCCACAAGATAACAAATATTTATTGTCATTTCCATCTACATTCATAAATATTTGTTTCTGCCTCGATTTGGAGAAGCATTCCCTTGAAATCAATATTCGGTCTTTCAAAGGGTTGAGTGGCTTTAATTAATTTGCCACCTCCTCTTACAAATCTTGGCTACAGCACACACATTATATTATTCAGTCAATCTCTTTACTTCCACTGTCGAGTAGGGCAAATTTCTCAGCTTGAGAAAGTGCATCATTCTTCATACTACAGGAGGACATAGATTATTATGTAATTCCTTCAGGTCGATATTTACGACAGAAGTGCAATGTACTATCTTGAACGCATCTGAGTATTCGTTTTTGTTGCCTGTTCGATATCTGATACCGTATTTGTAAGGGGAAAGTTCAATTTGCCAGTGATGAATTTTGTCGTTTTTAGTCTTTGGAACTTTATACTTATCGAAAATGTAGGATAGATCTCTTTCGTCTTTGATAAGAATAAAATATTTATCTTTTAGGTAATGATCGCTTTGATGATCGCATTTGCTTCTCTCTCTGCTGGGGAGTGGTTTCGTTAAGAGAGATTTAGAGTTCTGGATCAGAATGCAAAAGGATTGCCTCCTTGATTTAGCATCGCAGCTGAGCTCAAGTAACTAACATCTGTTTCAATTTCATGGGGTTTTTCATCGTCTAGTGTGTTTATCTTTAGTAGACACACTAATTTCCTTTCCAAATATTCAAAGGGATCTTTTATGTTACCAGTTAAATGGAATATAGTGTTGTTATTTAGCGCGTAATTTTTTAGTGAATAGTTTGGGATCCAACGACTGTAGTAAGCAAACATTCCGACGTTTCTCTTCTGGGCTTTCATATTGCCTGAAGGACAGAATACTTGCAAAGGTCTCACCCTTTCAAGGTTTGGTCTAAAGATCCATTTACTTCATAGCCCAAAAGTTTTATTTTCGCTACTCTGTAGATATTTGGGAAAATGTCTGAAAAAGTGAAAAAAAAGTTTTCTTGTGACACGTTTCGACCTTTAGTATTTCATCGGACTAAATATGTGATGTCGGGATGACTACGCATGCGCACGAACAAGGGATGCTGGGAATTTTAAATTTATTTTTTTTTTTTAAATCAAGCCAATTTCATTTAGATTCTTTTCCTTTCCATCAGTTTTTTTTAGTAGATATCCCACACTGTGAAAATAGAAGTTCTGCCAGGAATGGTAAAATATTGTAAGAGCCACTCAAATAGTGGCACCAACAGAATAAATTTAATCCGACGCAGTCCTAAAGAAAGAAACGCATCACAAGAAAATTTTATACACTTTTTTTGACATTTTCTCACTTGATATACAAAAATATATATTTTCACATACACACATATATTGATACTAATATATATAATATATATATCGTTAAGAAATGGACGAGGTCCGACAATTTATTTATTAAAGACATTTTTTATTTATGTTTAACGTTGTTATTTTATAGATACAAGTATTTAAGCAAATGCTCTGTTTATGATAAACAGTATTAAATATGAATGTCCGAGAAATTTTATAGAAAATATTCGTTCATAGACAGGATTCGAATGCATATACGGAATCAATATGATAACCACTCGGTTTGAACCTGATGGTAGACAAGGTCGAATTTACTGTTATAAACTACAATCTTCCATGAATCTCGTACATTCAAACTGCTCTGGCGTATCGAATGTAAACAAATGACGTCATATGTTAAGAAATGGACGAGGTCCGACAATTTATTTATTAAAGACATTTTTATTTATGTTTAACGTTGTTATTTTATAGATACAAGTATTTAAGCAAATGCTCTGTTTATGATAAACAGTATTAAATAACATTTACCGGCCTGAATGTCGAGAAATTTTCATAGAAAATATTCGTTATTCGAACCTGCATCCTATACGGAACCGTCATATACGCTGACGTGCCTTAACCACTCGGCCACCATGAACCTGATGGTAGACAAGGTCGAATTTACTGTTATAAATATATAAGAATAAATATATATAAGAATAAATATAGTTTTGTCTATATTTCTGAGTCAATATGAAATAGAACTTATGTAAATATAAAAGTGAACATTGAAGTCAGCTCTCAGATGCGACAGGTTATTTCATGCTAAGCGCAATATAGTCTTGACGATATATATGTTCTTTTTTATATATATATATATATATATATATATATGGGGGGAAGTGTATGATATGACGCGTTTCGACCTTTAGTATTTCATCAGATTAAACTTATGATGTTAGTGTGATTACGTATGCGCGAGGGATGCTGGGAATTTAATTTTTTTTTTTTAAATCTAGCCGATTTCGTTTAGATTTTTTTTCTTTCCATTACAGTTGTTATTAAATATCCCCCATTGTGATAATAGACGTTCTACCAGGAATGATGAAAAGAGCTCGGATGCCAATTTACTGTGGATGACTTTGCGATCAAGACACTCTATAGACATTTTCGTCCTTGTGAATTTTCTTCTTCTTTGATCAGAGTAGTATATTTTATGTCAAAGCTGTGACATATATATGAAAGATATTTTTGTCATTGAATTTAGGATATCGACGGTGTGAGTTAGAGGTTTCTTTATTGAGGAAAGAAAGACGGAATCTATGCTTTAAAACCAGGTAGGCTTTCTTTTGACGCGGCCTATGTATATCTGTTGGTTTGTCGCTGCTTGGCCTTCTCTTCATATCGTGGGTTGATCTCTCTTGTCTTCCCTCCTTGTTCCTATATCGATCGAATTATGAAAACTCTCCATGCACTACCCAACGACTCGTCCGCATCTTTGTCGATCTCAACTCCTAATCGAGTATTCCTGTCTCTGTCCGAAGATATTCACCCTAAGGCCACAACACAAAATCTTTTCAATCGCCTCTTACTCGAGGTAGTTCCAACCTACTGTTTGTCATCAAGATTTCACTACATATGCCTCGCACGAACTCTTAACTGATATCCATGATTCCAACTCCATTCTGTTTCCTTCCCTTGTCACCGCAAATGTGAAGCGAGGAGAATATTAAAAGCGTTTAAGATTTTTCAGTAGAGTTTTAATAATGCCACAGGAATTCACAGGCTTCCGAGAGAAAGGGAGATAACTGGATATAAAACAGAAGTTGTAATACAAGTTAAAATGAAAGAATATCGTTTACTTGAACATTTCTATCTTCCTGTCTTTCTTTCTTTTTTTTTCTGTTCTTGTCTTTTCATTTGTTCTTTTCTTTTTTTCTTCCTTTTTGTAATTTCTCTTATGTTAGTCTTTCTATTTATTTTCTTGTTTTTGTATTCTCTCTTTCTTTATTTTTTTCTTCCTTTTCCGCTTTTAAGTCTTTCTTACTTTCTTTTCTGTTTTTTCTTCTTTTCTTTTTATCCTCTTTGGTCGCCTTTATTTCATTCATTATTTTAAATTCTATTTTCTTTCTTTTTTTTGTTTTGCTTTTTCTCTTTTCTCCCTTTAATTGCTGCCATTTTCTTTCTTTCTTTCTTTCTTTCTTCTGTCCCGAATTGTAATCCTTTTATCTTCTCATGCCTCAATTTAATAACATAAAAAGAAATGAAATATTCCCTACTCTTATTTGTCCCCAATGTATTATTTCTTCTATTACATCAAATATTCCATCTTGAAGCTGGCCCGACCTCTGCAGACAGTTCTTCGCCATCAAATACGCCCCGATAAGGTCACAATAAACGCGAAAAAGGAAATCACACTGCGCATGCTCGCTAATCTGCATTGCCTTCAAACTCACGTGAGAAACGTGAGATGACAGCGAGATATGAAACACATTTTGATGCATCAAGTTGTTGCAAAATTTATCAGCATCATTTTTCACAATGATAGAGAAATCTTAGAAGTTTCTTCGATGTTTCCCTAGCATTTTATTGCTTAAGTGTGCATTTTCTTTGAGAATTGTTTGCTGAATAATCATAATTTTCTTTTCTTTTGGTAAGAGCTATGAATAAAAAAGTCACATTCGAGATTGTTTACTCAAAAATCTTTGATTGATAAATAGCCAAACCAGGAACATTGGGATGAAAAGCATCAAAAAGATGTGCAATATAATTTTGATTTGATGTAAGTTCCACAAGGAAGGGATAATCAGAGGGATAACGTGTGACGATGTGATTCCGCACGTCACTGCACAAGCTGTGATGACATCCAATGTCGTCTGTATGCGTATACACCCGGCTCGCTATGTTTATAGGTTTGTCTTACTGGCCGTAATCAAATTCAACAAAGAATAACGACAAATGCGTTTCAAGACACTGGTTGGGAAATTGCCGATTAAGTGAGAAATCGTATTGTTGGCTATGTCTCCCTTCGGCTTCGAGAAAATAAACTCCTGCTATATTAATAACTTCCGTCCACGAAAAAAGGAGTCTTACAATCGGTGCCTGACTGCCTCAGTGATTACTGTCTTACTGCTTGGCCATTTTCCACCCTCTGCTGTCTTATATGGATGCTGGCTGAGGTCTCACCACCCCTATCCGTCCACTTGTGTTCCGGAAAAGGAGAACACTCATTCAGCTTTTGGGTGGTCAGTTTTTCAAAGCACTCTACTTTTACGATTATTTAAAATCACTAACAAAATTTTATGTTTGTCAATTCAAAGGCGGATTGTGGACAGGATTCCTAAAAAATCCTGGTCATTAAATTGACTTAAAAGGAAAAACTATATATCTGTTTATTTCCAAGGATGTATGAGAAATCGTATTGCTACAAAAGAGACAATGAATTCTGATACGTTATGAAAATATTTTATTGACTCCAACCTCATACAGAATTTCTTCCTCGTTCAGAGAAACGATGTGTAGTTTTATAATTCGTATCATGATTATAATTTTGCTTACGGCTACATCACGTTGAAACACCAATTCCCATACGATCAACGTGGTTAAGCAACGTCGAACAGCGTTAAGCAAAGTCGAGCCTTGATGGTGACCGCTTGATAATACCAGGTGCTGAAAGCTTGGACGTGCAGGTGGTGTGATGGAAAATGGCTCGAAATTGTTAATCGGAGAGCCGAGTTTCAATTCCTGTTGGGTTCATTATATTCACTTACGTTCAAATAGCCTTGGGAAAGGTAAGAACTCATCTCTTTTCTCCTCCAGCTATGGGTTAATTAGTAAGACTTGTATCGCTATTATAATCTAAACATATTTTCTGGATTTAAATAACCTAAAAATGGTTGATAAACCGTAGAAAACGAATCAATCATAATTTATGTGGTGTGTTTTTCAGGACGTTGGTGAGCATGATTCTCCACGACTTCCTTTTCCTTGTGGCTCTAAGAAACGCTTGATCATTTACTATCATTTCTTTTGCGTAATGTGCCATCAAGTTAATCGATTTTTCATTTACCCTTCCTTCTTTCAATACGTCCTGTGTGTATTTAGTTTTCCAGGCCGTCCTTCCCGATAAGGCGTCCATTAACCTTTAACTGTCGCTGTCTGATTTCATGTATAATTGTCCTTGCTGTTCCTATTTTCTTTATAACTTCCTCGTTGTTCACGTGACCTGTTCGCGGAAGTTCTAAATATTTCTGTCGTCTCGATTATCTTTTTCATATGTAAGAGAATTGTTCACCACTCCATGACATATGCACCAGGATCGATATGAGAGCGTAATTCAGCGTTATTTTCTTTATTTCTAACAAAATATTTTCCTGTGTTTTAATACTTTGCTTAGTTTCTGGAAGGCATCTTTCGCGCTTTCGAATCCCTGTTCTACATTTTCTGTCGTCTGTCATATTATTCAGTTCGTTAAATTTCTGAACCTACTTGATTCGATGTTCAAACCTTTGACTGACTCTCTAGCTGACGATTACACACTCCGTCTTGTAGCCAATAGATAGTCCTTTCTTATCGCTTTCCTTTTGCTACATTCTTTATGAATTTTTTGTAGTTTTTCTTCTGAGTTCGCTATCAGCCCAATGCCATGCGTTTATCTTATACTGTTAAGATTTATATGTCCGTCGATAATAAATCCTTTTAAGTCTTCTAGTTCTACGTGGATCGTCTCGTAATATAGATTAAATAAATCCGGCTATTCTTTCGATTTGTGTGTACTTGCTTAACGCGTTTTTATTCCGCATGCAGGCTGTTTGTTCCTGCAAATCTTGCCCTTTATCCTTTGGATATCCAATATAATTCGAGCTTGCCTAGCAGTTCAAATACAATTTTGCGTCGTATTTTAGCAAATGCTTTTGCATAATCTACCAAGGGAAGTTGTCTCTTTACATTTATTTAGGAAATGATAAAGTTACTACGGTTCGAGAACCACGAGAGAAACGCAGGGCTAATGTTCAAAATAACATAACTTACCAATTATACATCGATATTGGATACTACTGGGTGAATTTAAACTTCTAGGATTTTTGGACGATTTTTATATAATTTCATAGCATCATTGTTCGGTCATCAAAATATTTTCCTTTATTAGTCTAAGTATAAGTATGATTTTTGTTTTCGTTGTCTCTAGAACATTATCACTGCGAACATGTTGAGTTCATGATATTCTCAGCATCCTTCTGTAGGACTACAACTCTGTTGCTTCAAGTCTTCCACTATCCTATAGGAGGGCCTATATTACCTGCAAGTCCTGTTTCTAAAACATTTATCTGTTTCTTAATACTTTGCTTAACCTTTAGAAGGCATCGTCCGCTATTCCCAACTCGCCTTCGGATTTTGTTGATGCCTTTTCAGTCCTCCGTTAAAACACTTCCTAGATATTGAAATTGTTGTAGTTAATGACGTTGGTACCTTCAATTCGTTGTTTGCATTTATATTTTTCCTCTTGCTGACAACCATACAGTCTCTCTTCTTACATTTCATAGTTAGTCCTTTCTTCTCGCTTTCCTTTACTAATTTCTAATTGTCTGTAGTTTACTTTCATTGTCAGCTAGCAACACTGTCATCTGCATATATTATATTATTAAAATCGCCTCGCCGTTAAGTTTGGATAAGTCCGGTGGGACGTCATATCCTTGTCTTACACCCATTTTTGTGTATTTACTTAATTCATTTTCTATCCGTAGAGGTAATTTGTTTCCAGTTCTGAATTTCTTTTAATATCTTTCCCAAATAAATCAAACCTACCTATCCGTTTAAACAGTTGTTTGTGACTGTTGTAACCTAGAAAGGGTTATTGAATGAAGAATAACCAAAACGGAGGTTGGAAATGAAATGGTAATCTTTATAGCATCAACAAAATACAATACTTGCCAGCGGTGTGGAGTAGGTAAACCACTGCTAGTGGTGGACTACATAGACAGCATATTGCCTTCACTTACAATAGTGTCGAATGTATTTATGAGGATTGGGACATATCGTTATTGTTCATAGGTACGGTATATAACAGTGACATATTTTATTAAACATTTGTGCCTAATTTTTAAAATCTGGATATAAAACATTTTGCATTTGTACTGGTCTTTCAGATATCATTCTTAAATAAACATCCCATTCCTTTTTCCAGTCTCTTTAAGGCGACTACATTGTTCTCGCCTTATTTGCGCTCTAATTCTGCTGCCTGCTCTATTCATCAGAATTAGGATTACAAGTTTTATCATGTGGCTTATCGGCTAAATGTCTGATAGAATTCGCATTCATTTACACCTGGCTTAGAATCTGTTAAGTAGTAGACATTTGGCAAAGTCTTGAACTCTAAAATCTTTTCTATATGCAAATTATTTCGCTACACTATTTGATAAGGTTTTTACGACGATACGAACATTTCATACTGTTCCCCATCTATAAATTGGACACAAATAATTTTATATAAAAATGTTTCTCATCTTTTTTTTTTTTTTTATAAATGTTAAAAATATTATGACGATAACGTTAACTTTTATTTAAATTTTAAACAGATTTTCACTAACAGTCCATAGAATTAATTAGAATATTGAAATAAAATACATTTTTATGTTCAGCAATAGAAATTTAACGTATATCGAAAAAGAAAAGAAAGAAAATACATTCGTAAATTTGTTTTAAATTTTTTTCAGTTTTAGTCTTTTAATGCCCAGGCTTTGGAATTTACCATATTTTACTCGTCGGACAACTCCGGGCAGTTTTTAGCTACAACTTATTGGTTCCTTGAACTGAAGCTGTTAATTTTTGTGATCCAAATAGATGATGTGAGTGAATTAGAGATAGGAATCATCTTCACTAGATTGCGCCCGAGAAGCGATTATGTCATTGCCCTTAAGTCAAATTCTTCGATAAATACGTATTAAAATGAAATTAGCCTTGCACAACTTTACAAAACAAACTTTTAGAAAGCTAACTATATTTAGACAGACATTTTGCAGCACCAGCGGCGGCCATCTTTCGGTGTATATATGTCGCAAGAATAATGGATTGTGTTTCGTTCAGTTCGAAAAAGACAAAATCTTCTGAGAGAAATGAACTTTCCCAACAACAATCAACAACAAAAAAGTAAAACGAAAAAGAAAAGGAAAGAAAATCCATTCGTAAATTTGTTTTAAATATTTTTCAGTTCAATTCT